AAAAAAAGCCTTTGAGAAGAGCATTACAAATGATAAAGGGAATGATCCAATGGAAGGATATGACACTTGTAAATATCTATGTGACTAACATGGAGGCACTAAATACATAAAGCAAATATTAACAGACATTAAAGGAGAAAGTGACAGTAATGCAATAATAGTAGGGGACTTTAACACTGCACTTACATCAATGGATAGATCATCCAGATGGAAGATCTATAAGGAAACACTGGCCTTAAATGAGACATTAGACCAGATGGACTTACTAGATACATACAGAATAGTCCATCCAAAACTCCAGAATACACATTCTTTTCAAATGCACATGGAACAGATAAATCACATATTAGGTCAAAAAACAAACCTCAATAAATTTAAGGAGACTGAAATAATGTCAAGCATCTTTACCAACCACAACAGTATGAAACTAGAAATCAACTACAAGAAGAAAACTGGAAAAGTCACAAATATGTGGAGATTAAACAAAATGCTACTGAACAACTACTGGGCCAATGAAGAAATAAAAAAATACCAGAAGACAAATAAAAATGAAAATACAACATAGCAAAATCTATGGGATACAGCAAAAGTGGTACCAAGAGAGAAGTTTATAGCAACACAGGCCTACCTCAACAAACGAGAAAAATCTCAAATAAACAACCTAACACTACATCTAAAGGAACTAATAAAGAAGAACAAATGAAGCCCAAAATAACTAGAAGGAAGGAAATAATAAAAAGCAGAGCAGAAATAAATGAAATAGAGACTAAACAGACAATAGAAAAGTTCAATGAAACTAAGAGCTGGTTATTTGAAAAGATAAACAAAATTGACAAACTCACTAAGAAAAAAAAGAAGCTTCAAATAAATAAAATCAGAAACAAAAGGGGAGAAATTACAATGGATACCACATAAATATAAAGAATTATACGAGATGCTATGAAAAGCTATATGCCAACAAATTGGATAGCATAGAAGAAATTGATAAATTCTTAGAATTATACAAGCTTCCAAAACTAAATCAAGAAGGGGCTGGCCCCGTGGCCGAGTGGTTAAGTTGGCGCGCTCCGCTGCAGGCGGCCCAGTGTTTCGTCGGTTCGAATCCTGGGCACGGACATGGCACTGCTCGTCAGACCACGCTGAGGCAGCGTCCCACATGCCACAACTAGAGGACCCCACAACGAAGAATACACAACTATGTACCGGGGGGCTTTGGGGAGAAAAAGGAAAAAATAAAATCTTTAAAAAAAAAAAAAAAAACTAAATCAAGAAGAAACAGAAAATCTGAATAGACTGATCACTAGTAAAGAGATGAAAACAGTAACAAAAAACCTCTCCAAAACCAAAAGTCCAGGACCAGATGGCTTCCCCAGTGAATTCTACCAAACATTCAAAGAAGAATTAATACCTATCCTTCCCAAACTCTTCCAAAAACCTGAAGAGGAGGAGATACTTCCTAACTCATTTTACGAGGCCAACATTACCCTAATACCAAAACCAGATAAGGATGACACGAAAAAAGAAAATTACAGGCCAATATTGCCGATGAACATAGACGTAAAAATCCTCAACAAACTATTAGCTAATCGAATACAACAATACATTAAAAGATCATACATTGTGATCAAGTAGGATTTATTCCAGGGGTGCAAGGATGGTTCAACATCCACAAATCAATCAATATCATATTCCACATTGACAAAATGAAGAATAAAAATCACATGATCATCTCAATAGATGCAGAGAAAGCATTTCACAAGATTCAGCATCCATTTATAATATTTAAAAAAACTCTGAATAAAAAAGGTGTAGAAGGAAAGTACCTCAACACAATAAAGGGCATATATGACAAACCCATAGCTAATATCATACACAATGGAGGAAAACTGAAAGCCATTCCTCTGAGAACAGGAACCAAAGATGCCCACTTTCACCACTCTAATTCAGCATAGTATTGGAAGTCCTAGCCAGAGCAATTAGGCAAGAAAAAGATATAAAAGAGATCCAAGTGGGAAAGGAAGAAGTGGAACTGTCACTATTTGCCAGTGATATGATTTTATATATAGAAAACCCTAAAGAATACACCAAAAAAACTGTTAGGAGGAATAAACAAGTACAGTAAAGTTGCATGGTACAAAATCAACATAGAAAACTCAGCTGAATTTCTAAACATTAGCAATGAAATAGCAGATAGAGAAATCAAGAATACAATCCCATTACAACCACAACGAAAAGAATAAAATACCCAGGAGTAAACTGAACCAAGGAGGGGAAAGACCTGTATACTGAAAACTATAAAACACTGTTGAAAGAAATCAAAGTAGACACAAAGAAATGGAAAGATATTCTGTACTCATGGACTGGAAGAATTAATATCGTTTAAATGTCCACACTACCTAAAACAATCTACAGATTCAATGCAATCCCAACCAGAATCCCAAAGACATTCTTCATGGAAATAGAACAAAGAATCCTAAAATATATATAGTACAAGAAAAGACCCTGAATAGCCAAAAGCAGTACTGAGAAAAAAGAACAACGTCGGAGGTACCACACTCCCTGAATTCAAAATATACTAAAAAGCTGTAGTAATCAAGAGAGCAACTTACTGGCAGAAAAACAGATATACAGATCAGTGGAACAGAATTGGGAGCCCAGCAATAAACCGACACATTTATGGAGAGCTAATTTTTGACAAGGGAGCCAAGAACATACAATGGAGAAAGGAAAGTCTCTTCGATAAATGGTGCTGGGAAAACTGGATGGCTACATGCAAAGGAATGAAAGTAGACCATTATCTTACACCATGCACAAAAATCAACTCAAAATGGACCAAAGACTTGAATGTAAGACCTGAAACCATGAAACTTCTACAAGAAAACATAGGCAGTACATTCTTGGACACTGGTCTTAGCAGTATCTCTTTGAATATGTCTCCTCAGGCAAGGGAAACAATAGAAAAAATAAACAAATGGGACTACGTCAAACTAAAAGTCTTCTGCAAGGTAAAGGAAACCATCAACAAAATGAAAAGACAACCTAACAATTGGGAGAAGATATTTGCAAATCATATATCCAATAAGTGGTTAATATCCAAAATATATAAATAATGCATACAACTCAACAACAAAAAACCAAACAACCTGATCAAAAAATGAGCAGAGGAACCGAACAGACATTTTGCCAAAGAAGACATACAGATGGACAACAGGCACATGAAAACATGTTCAACATCACTAATTATTAGGGAAATGCAAATCAAAACCACAATGAGATGTCACCTCACACCCATCAGAACGGCTATTACTAAAAGACAAGAAATAACAAGTGTTGGCAAGGATGGAGAGAAAAGGGAATCCTCATACACTGCTGGTGGGAATGTAAATTGGTGCAGCCACTATGGATAACAGTACGGAGATTCTTCAAAAAACTGAAAATAGAACTACCATGTGACCCAGCTATCCCACTTCTGGATATTTATCCAAAGGACACGAAAACACTAATTCAAAAAGGTATGCGCACCCCTGTGTCTACTGCAGCATTATTCACAATAGCCAAGACTTGGAAACAACCTAAGGGCCCATCAACAGATGAATGGGGGCTGGTCCCGTGGCCCGGTGGTTAAGTTTGCGCACTCCACTTCAGCAGCCGAATTTCGCCGATTTGGATCCTGGGTGCGGATCTAGCACCGCTCATCAAGCAGTGCTGAGGCGGCGTCCCACATAGCAGAACTAGAAGGACCTACAGCTAGAATATACAACTATGTACTGGGGAGGGGGTGCTTTGGGGAGAAGAAGAAAAGAAATAAAAACCAAAAAATCCCCAAACAAAACGAATGGATAAAGAAGATGTGGTATATATACACAATGGACTACCACTCAGCCATAAAAAAAAGATGAAATCTTGCCATTTGCGACAGCATAGATGGACCTTGAAGATATTATGCTAAGCCAAATAAGTCAGATGGAGAAAGTCAAATACCATATGATTTCACTCATACGTGGAAGACAAAACAAGAACAAAAAACAAACACATAGATATGGAGAACAGATTGGTGGTTTCCAGAGGGGAAGGGAGTAGGGGGAGGGCAAAAGGGGTAAAGGGGCACATGTGTGTGGTGATGGATGGTAATTAGTCTTTGGGTGGTGAACACGATGTAATCTTCACAGAAACAGAAATATAATGATGTACACCTGAAATTTATATGATGTAATAAACCAATGTTACCTCAACTGAAATAATTAATTAATTAAAAATAAATTGAAAAATGAAATTACTTGTAATAGAAATCTTTTGTATTATCAAGTGAACAAAAATATCACCCTGCGGTATGGATGTAAAAACAAAGCCTTTGAATGATACAAATAATAAAAATTAAGCCTCAAAAAATTCAGATTAAGAAAACATCTTACAAAGGGAGCACAGCGGTTAAGTGTGACATGCATCCCGGAACGCGGCCCATAGACTGGGGCCTGAAGTCTCTCCCGGGCTTGGAGCACAAGGCCAACCTTTGACCTTCGGCGGTCCTCCCCCTGCTCCTGAGAAGTGGCTCTCTGGAGCTGGCACTCAGCCAAGCAGGCCCAGGGCTGGTGTGACGTCCAGCCGGCCCTCTCAGGGGCCGGCGGGGAGAACTCAGCACAGCAGATGCTGGGACGGATGCTTGAGGCCTGTGGGCTCCAGGAAGGGATGTCTAATCCGCCAAAGGGCTCTGAGGCTGGGCTAAATGGGGATGTGAGCACAAGGAGCACGTGGCCACAGGGGTTCTGGTTTTTCGGGCGCCACCAAAGGGCCCCGGGGTATAGCCTGTTGCTGCCTTTTCCATCCTACTCCATGCCCCTCTCCCTCTCATTCCACCTGTCTCTTATTCTCCCTACCCCTTTCCCTGTCCTCCCTCCCCACCCTCCCCTCCCCTTCCTTTCCCCCTCCCCTCATGCCTCCTCCCCCCAGCACCCCCTTCCCTCCCACCCTTCCTTCTTCTCCCTCTCCCCTCTCCTCCCACTCTCTCCCTTCTCATCATCTTTCTCTCCCTCCCTCTGTCTCTTTTCCCACCTGCTCCACCTTTCTGTCTCTCTCCCCTCTTTTGTCTCTCTCCTTATTTTCCACCTGGGCCGGAATCTGAGCCCTTCCTGCACTCGCCTCAACCCCCGCCCACAGTGAAGGGTAGCAGGGCACAGTTTAGTCCATCTGAAACCTCCCCAGGGCTAAGAGATCATTTGGCTTGCCCCGTGGGAGACTTTCATTTCCTTGGGAGTGGATGATTCTCGGGCTGACTTAACTGGTCACAGAGGAAGCTCCAGGTCAGAGCAAGTTTCCAGGCTGGCCTAGAACAGGGCTGTTGGGGGGCCTCTGGCCTTGTAAGAGCCAGCCTACCCGATGGCCTCACCCAGATGCTGGAGCACGCTTGTTTATTACGCAGGGGCTTGGAGAACGGGGGTGGGAGCTGTGGAGGCAGGACCGGGGTGGCCCTGGGTGGGTGTGGGAGGAGCCGTGTCCAGGCCTAGCGCTCTGGGTGGCCGTGGGGGCGGCATCACTTCTTGGAGGTCGGTTTCTTCCCGTTGGTTATCTTGCTGCCTCTCCTGGTTTTGCTGGGAGGATGCAGATCCACTTCAGTCTGCTGAATTCTAAAAATCAAAAGAGAGAGAAGCAAATGCTGGGAAATGGGTGGAGAAGGCTGGTCTGGAGCCCCGGCCTGGCCTGGGGAGGTGGGCGTGGCCCTCTACCTTGCACATTTGAGACCTCTGGGTGTTGCTTTGGCCTGGGGGTCCCAGCAGCACCTGTGGCCTTTCTAGGTGCTCACAGTTTGCATTTCTATCTTGATGAGAAATGTGTGATTTTCTTGCTCTTGCAGAACACAGGATTTGCTTCCCAGTGGCCTTGGCCAAGCCTGTGGACTTTCGATAGGTCTAGGAAGTTTCTCGCAGGGAGCCAGGGGGCAGTCTTCACCCTTCTCAGACTGATGCATCTGGGTTGTGGGGTTTCGCTCCAAAGTCCTCAAAGGCCTCAATCTCCAGCCCCCAGACCACTGCCAGCAGTTCCAGGGAGCAGCCTTCATGCCCCACTGGACACTGTGCTGATAAACAGGCCAGACCTCAGGGACTGCTGGAGATGGCCCATGCCCGGGGATGGGGTTGGGAAGTGGCATGCCCAAGGCCACTTAACCCCGAGAGGCCTCTACGGCCTGTGGTGGAGCCAGGGGCCCTGCTGGGAGCCACACCCATTCTGCCGCCCATAGGAGGGCCCCTCAGCCCTGGCAGGGTGGCCACCTACTTCTGCTCAGCTTCAGAAGACGACTCCTCCACCTTGTCACTTATGGCCAACGAGGAGAAGCTTCCTTGGATGTCTTCTGACCTTACTCTCTTGACCGAGTCAGGGTCTTCCGGGCTCCAGATGGAGGCTGGGCTGCTGTAGGGAGGCAGGGCAGGGAGGGCAGTGCTCAGCGAGGAACAGCCGGAGGGCCCAGAGCCGGGCGGCCCAGGCAAGCAGCCCCCGCCTGGCACGGCCCCTTCAATGTTCCAGCTCCTAGAAAGAAAGGGGCCCAGGTGCTTCTCCCCTCGAGGGGGTCAAGGGAGAACGTGATCCCCTGGGGACCCAGAGACTCACTGGCGGTTGGCTTCCCTGGCTTCTGTTTAAGGCTGGAATTGCCCTGATTGTGTGTCAGCGACACCTGTCCACCCAGCACTGACCGCCAGAAAGGCCTGTAGTGGGGCGGGAGGCTCCACAAAGCAAGCAAAGGAGAGAGGACAGGAAGCCAAGGAAATAAGTCATCGTGTATGGGGTTATGGGTTGACTGTGTCCCCCCAAATTCACATGGAGTCCTAACCCCAGCACCCCAGAAGGCATCCTTACTCGGAAATAGGGTCATTGCAGATGTAATGAGTTAAGATGTGGTCATACCAGAGTGGGGTGGGCCTCCACTCCGACGCACCAGGTGGCCTGACACAAATGGGGAGATGTGGACAGAGACATGCGCGCAGAGCGACAGCATGTGAGGACAGGGACAGTCTGCCATAGCCAAGGGACAGGTCCTTCCCTAGCACGCTCAGGGGGAGCATGACCTGCCCACACCTTGATCTCAGACTTCTGGCCTCCCAAACCAAGAGACAATGAATTTCTCTTCAGGCCACTCAGTGTGTGGAACGTTGTGACAGCCGTCCTGGGACCTAACGAACACATGTGGTCACTCCCCACCTTTGCACCAACCCCAAGGCCCTGCAGCCGGGCACCGTTCTCACACGCCTTCCAGGCTATTGATGGCGTTGAGCATCACAGCAGCCCCGGGAGGCAGGCAGCTCAGGGGCCTTCGTCCCCATTTTACCGACAAGGACAGAGAGGAGAGCGGGCTTGCCGAAGGGACAGGACTGGCCCTTTCATTGATTGTCTCTTGGAATTTATCAAGCCCCTGCTATGTGACTTGCTTAAGGAAAGGGCATTTAAGAGACAAGTGTTGCGGGGGGGGGGGGGGGGGGCCTCTTCCATCATTGGAGGGCCCTAGAAAAATTAAAAGTGGAGAAATACCAAAACGGGGGTCACAGATCTGGGTACATTCCCAGTGTTTACATTTAGCAAACTAATGCCCCCCTCCATGCCTCACTCTACCGCCCCACCCCACCCCACCCCCAGGGAGCACACACATGAAGTCCAAGTGGCCCCTTGCAACATGGCACTGGAGATGGGGCAAAGGCCTACGTGCGGGCCCTTGAGAAGTCGGGTCCCTGGTGGTCTGTGGAGGAATGTGGGCTGAGACCAGGGGTGCTGGCCTCCATGCCTGCTAGTCCCAGAGGGCAGGGTAGGGCTGCAGGGGCAGGGCCGGGCTGATGGGCTCCTGCTGGGCCGCTGCCTGGGTGACGGGAGGAGGTCCCCGGGCTCTCTGAGTACATAGAGTGCTTGGGAAGTGCAGGGGAAAAGCCCAGAAGGAAGAATGAACCCCTAAACCTCTCCATCATTCATTCATTTGTTCCACAAGTATTTGCTGAGCACCTACCCCCAAGCTGGGCTCATAGCCAGCCCCGCGGTCCCTCCCACCCTGAAGCGGCCCCTCCAGGGTGCTGGCCTCCTCCGTGGCCTCCCCGTGTCCAGCCTCACCCGCACAGCGTCCACGCTGCTGCCTGAGGGCTTGTCCTCCCTGATCTGGCCTTGTCTCTCCCACTTAACACCAGTCTGTAGCTCTCCAACTTCTGCAGGGTGAGCCCCCACTCCCTAGAGTGATGCCCAGCTCAAGGCCCATGAGAATCTGGCCCGAAACTACCGGTACGTTTTTCTAACAGCCCCCCTTGGCAGCCCCCCTAAATCCACAGCTCTCCTGCTCCCTGGTCCACACAGAGCTCCACACCCTTGCCCACACTAGCCCTGCCAGGAGTGCCTTACCCCTCCTCTTCTGCTGGGCCTTCTACTCATCCCTCAAGGCTAGGCTCCCATGTCACCACCTCTAGGAAGCCCTCCCTGAACTCTCGGAGGAGTGGTTTCCTCCATTGTTTATCACGGTGCACGGTTTGCAGCTCTGAGTCTGCCTCCAGTCACCTGAGCAGAGGACTTGATCTTAGCAACCTGGCATGGCTCTTGGGAGGTATGAGTGAGTGAATGAATGAATGAACCAAATGACATCAGGGGAACGTGAGTGACCAGGCCAGTGGGGCCACATGGCCATCCTGCTGGGATGACAGGCGCACTCCTGTTCCTGCCAACAGTACTGATCTAGAGATGAATGCCAAGACCATCCTTGGTCAGGGATAAGTAGAAAAGGCCACCTGGAGGTTTGCTTGAGGCCAGCCCCTCCAGTCAATTCAAAAACCTTGGTACTCCCCTCAGTGATAAGGAAAACATCAGCAAGGGCTGGCCCTTATCAGACCACCTCTCCGTAGCGTCAAGGCCAGCCCCTGTTTCAGAGCTGTTGGCCCACTTCCCGAAGGTAACTTCTCCCCACTCAGCTCATTCAGGGCACACAACAGCATACACAGCACCGGTCACTACAAAGTCAGCTCCCAGTGCGTCAGCTCTTACAGCTTTTGATTCTCTCAACTCACTCCTCTGAGCATGGTCTTGAGAGAATGCTGTGCCCATCCCACAGGGAGAAAACCGAGGTCCAAAGAGGGCGAATGACACATCTAAAGTCACGGCTGTGGCACCCTGCCCCTCCAGGGCACATCTCTGCCCTCGCTGGCTCCCTGCACGAGGCGTTCAGAGCCTAGGTCAGCTTCTTTGTAGGAGGCCCACCTCCTGGACCCCACATTGACCAGCCGCTGGGCCTGGAGCCCACAGCCTCACTGTCTTCTCCCCGCCACCCTGTGCCGGCCCCAGGCAGGGCCCCAGGGGCAGCACCTGAAGGCAGGTCCAGGTGGCGGGGCACTGACAGCAGGGTGAGTCTGTGCTCTGTGGCCCCGAGGTGAGGACCAGGCTGCCTCTCCCTGTCCCCTTTGAGCCCCAGATGGACAGGGGTGGGTCTCTTGAGACTTCCTGTGCTTGGAGAACTGCAGTGAGCAGGGAGGGAGAGCTGTGGTGATGCTGAGGGCTCCCCTTGGCCCCCACCAACCTGCCCCTGCCCCCAGGGCCCGGCATTTTTTAGGAACTCAAAGCACAGCTAAACCGAGAAATAATGTCAAGCCACGTGGGACACAGGGGAAGGACCCTGGTGAAAGCTGCTGACAGCAGGATACGGATGAGAGAGTCGGGGGACGGGGACGGGCATCGCTGGGTGCCCCCAGCAGCACACCGAGCTTCTTGACGTGGCCAGGAGGGTCTCGCTGCTCTCTCTGCCTGGCCAGCCTTTCTCTGTCACTCCTCCCCTGCGTCACACCCTGCCCTGTTGGTGCCCCCACTGCAGCACAGCTTGCCTCTGCTCACAGGCACAGGTCGCAGGGCCTGCGAATCGCCGTGACCTCTCTTGGCCACAGTGAGGACTCCCCGAGCCAACGAGGGCGGCAGAGAAGAGCAGCAGCCTAACGTTCAGGCGGATGCAGCCCAGACTCACGAGGGGCCACCTCCTCAAGACGCAGCCCCATGTGTGCTCTGGTTGTCCTTCCGGCTGGCTGTAGCCCACTCTGCCCAGGAGCTTTCTGCACTGCTCCGGCCTGCGGAGCCCCTCCTTGGTCAGGGCTCCCTCCGTGCCCTCCATCTGCGGGCCCAGAGGCTTGGCTGGGTGAGGACGAGCCCTGTGCACCTCTGTGCATATGTGCCACTGCTTGACCCCAGCCCAGAGCCGCAGAATGTCAGAGAGAACCCAAGACGGCAAGGGGGGCCGAGCCAGCATGGATCAGTGCCAAGCACAGGGCTGCCCCCAGGGGTGGGAGGGCCACTGTCTGCTGAGTGAAGGAAGGCAGGGAAGGAGGTGCAGGGTGGGTAGGGGGCAGTGGGGGTCCAAGCCTCCCACAGCTCTGGTCTCTAGGCCAGTCCTGGCTCCCGGTTTACCCAGCCAGGAGCCTTCACTGGGCCTCACCTTGGTGCAGCCCCCTCAGCCCAGTCCCAGGGGTCAAAGATGAGGACCATGGAAGCTCCCCCTTCTGGAGGCCACCCCACCCCATAGGCTCCCTCTCCTCACCCACCCCGTGCAGCCTGGCTGGCTGGGCCTCACGCACGAGGAAGGAGCTGCTCCGCGGAGCACTCAGGAAGCCTTCTGTGGGGAGGGCCACTGTGGACAGACTGTGAGGGACAGACGTGGACAGGCTGGTAGAGCAGGGGGACATGTTCTGGTGGCCAGAGTGAGCCTGGGACCTGGTGCCACCAGAGCAAGGAGGTTGAGCTTTGGAGAGCAACCAGCCCTTGCCCAGCAGCTCACTAGCCAAGGAGACAGCCCTTCCCTCCCCCTCAGCTGCAAGCGCCCGCAGAGCATCCCCTCCTAGCTGTTTAAAAACCTGTGGTTAAAAGCACATAATGTAAAATTTATCATCTTAACCATATTTAAGTGTCCAGTTCAGCGGCATTAAATACATTCACATTGCTGTGCAATCATCACCACCATCCATCTCCAGAACTTTTTCATCTTCCCAAACTGAAACTCTGTATCCATTAAACACCAAGCCCTCATCTTCTTCCGGCCCCAGGCACCCCCCCCGTTCTACTTTCTGTCTCTAGGAACGTGACTATCCAGGGACCTCATATAAGTGGAATCGTGTCGTATTTGTCTTTTTGTGACTAGCTAATTTCACTAGCTTACTGTCCTCAAGGTTCATCCATGTTGTAGTATGTGTTAGAATTTCCTTCCTTTTTCTTTATCCCTTCACCCCTCAATGGACGCTTGGGTGCTTCCACTTCTTGGCTACTGTGAATAATGCTGCTATGAACATGGGTGTACAAATATTCCTTTGAGACCCTGATTTCAATTCTTTTGGGTATGTACCCAGAAGTGGAATTCCTGGATCATACGATAATTCCATGTTTAAGTTTTTGAGGAAGCGCCACACTGTTTCCACAGTGGCTGCACCATTTTACGTTCCCACCAGCACTGCACAAGCATTCCAACGTCTCCATAACCACTCTAACGGTTGTTACTTATTGTTTTGGGGTTTTTTTTGATAGCAGCCATCCTAACGGGGATGAGGTGCTATCTCACTGTGGTTTTGACTTGCATTTCTCTAATGATTAGTGCCCTTCACTCTTTCACATCAATTTCTAGGTGTTTGGATCAGTGAAGGTGAAGCAGGTCGAGGTCCTGTTCACCTCCAAACCACCAATTCTGAGTGTGAAGCTGGACATGTGGCAGCTGCTCCAAAATTGATGGAGCGGCATGACTTTCAGGCTGAAAGAGGAGGCTGCTTCTGGAGTGAGGGGTCTCCCATCATTAGAGGTATGCGAGGGGCAGTCGCATAACCACGGCAGCCAGTTATCAGTGGACACTCTGTCAACCAGCCCTTCCTCATTCTGACCTGACCTCTGCCTCCCTGGGATAAAGTCAGCCCTAGGTCATCATTCAGCAAACATTTCCCAAGCGGCCTCCTATGTTCTGGGCCCTGAGATGAGTGGAGGATGCAAACAGAGGGGAGGTGGGACGTCTAGGGTATGTGACACAGGACACCCCACCCTCTGGGCTGGTATGGCTTAATACATGCAGAGAGACCTGCAGCCCTTCCCATCCCACTGCCTGCTCCTCAGGGCAGGGCTGTCCCCAGGCAGCCCCAGCTCCTCGGGCCTGTGTGAGTCTGGGGCCCTCGTATTGGTCTCATAGTCTCCCCTAGTTGTCCTTGGCCTGGCCCTACCCTTTTGCTCTGTTTGTCACAACCAGTCTACTCACTAGGCAGGAGCCCACCCCAACCTCGCTGGGGCTCAGGAGGAGCGCTGCCTCCCTGGGGAGCTGAGCTCCGCTGCTGGCTAAGGATAGACCTGGGGCCTCTTCCCACCCACAGCTCTTGCTTCTCCATGGTGGCTTCACAGACCCCAAGCCCAGACTGAGGACTGTCTCTGTGGCTGGTTCCTCTTAGGAAAGAGAAGGTCAAAGAGTCCCCAGGCCAGTGACCAGGGCAGCCTTTCTGGATCTGGCTCCCAGCTCTGCCCACCTCCCAGCGTTTACTCTGCTGACCTGTCTCTTCTCCTCTCAACTCCCTACCTCTAATCCTCCCACTACAGCTGTACAAAACCCAGCAGATTCAAAGTCTTCTCTGCAGGATGGTGTCAAGATGGCGGCGTAGGTGGACTCTGAACTCACCTTCTCCCATAGATGCAACCTACTCTTGGAATGATTACCCCTAAGAGAGGACTGAAAACTGGATACAGGGAACCCCAACAATGAGACAGTGTTGACTGAGGTGGAAAAAGCAGAAGTTCCTTTCTGGAGAGAAAAAAGCCACCTTTGACCAGCCAGGAGCAACCCTAAGGTATGAAACCTTCCCTGGAGGAGTGGGGGATCTGAGCAGGGGAGCATTACCACAATAAGCAGCTTTTAGACTCCCAACTGAGATAGGTGTCAAAATACCTCGCTTTGCTGGCTGTTAACTACAGTGGGGAATACCCCCAGGAAAGCTATCAGACATAAGGGGAAAAAAAGCCTGTTCTTAAAGGACACACACACAAATTCACCTGTTTCAGAAAGCAACCTAAAATCACCATGAAGAAAGGTGCACAGTCCTTTGGTGAAAAGAGACTCACCTGATAGGCTCTGAGTGCATCTTGATGAGAGGTGAGACCTCTCCAGGGACTGAGACATTGGTGGCAGCCATTACTGTGATGTGGTACAGGTATGCTGACATAGGTGCTGGCAGATGACATTGGAGATCTTCCCCTGGCCTGTTACACAGGGTCTGCCCCTCCCACTAGAGGACCTATTTAATCCAGCTCAGTCAGGGCAGGCAGCCCACCTACCAGACCAGCCCTACCCAACAGCAAGCCTTTGGGCAACTTGTGGGCCTGCATAAGTGGGGTGCCTGGAACCTCTGCAGCCAGGTGAGTGAGTCCACCTCTGCAGGGCAGGACATGCATGAGGGGTGGGCCTGCAGCAGTGGAGTATGTGGGGCCTCTGAAGTGGGGTGACTGGGTCCACTTCAGTGGGTCAGGGCATGTGCATGGGGCAGGACTGTGTTGATGGAGTATGTGGCCCTGCAGGTGGTGGGGCTTGTCAGCTACAGCAGACTTGTGCTTCTCAAACAGCCACATAAGGGATCAGCTCAACCCTCCAAAGCCTGAAACAATTGGGTGCTCCCATGCCTAGGGGTAGCCCCACTCAGCTGCAACCCTGAGAGAGCCAACAACAGCCTTGCAGGCCAGAGGCCTACAGCAAGTGTAAGTGCCAGCCATGCTGGGAGCCTACTCATTTAACAGAAAAACTACAACAGGAATGGGCTATTGGACTCTGCAGCCAACTGTGCTGGGGCTCCCCATGCCTGATAAAGTGACTGAAGTGTCCCTAGCAGCCACACACAGCTGAGCATTCAACCAGCTGGCCAGGTGGACAGCCTAGCCTCCATGGACACCTGCAGTAAGAGCAACTCTGCCACAACAGAAGGACACATGTAGCCCACAGGGGGACACTCCTAGAACATTTGGAACTGGTGACGAGAGGGAAGCACACTGCTGGGCCTCATAAGGCATCTCTTACGTAAGACCACCTCTCCAAGATCAGGAGACATAGCTGATCTACCTAAAACAGAGATATAAGCACAGAGAAAGAAGTAAAATGAGGACACAAAGGAATGTGTTCCAAGTAAGGGAACAGGACAAAAGCCCAGAAAAAGAACTAAATGAAACAGAAGTAAACAATCTACCTGACAAAGAGTTCAAACAAAAAGTCATAAGGATGCTCAGTGATCTTGGGAGAAGAAGGGATGAACTCAGAGAGAACCTCAACAAAGAGTTGGAAAATATCAAAAAGAACCAGCAGCAATGAAGAACACAGTACTGGATATGAAAAATTCACTACAGGGACCCAACAGCAGAGTAGATGACACAGAAGAACAGACCAGCCAGCTGGATGAAAGACTGGAGAAATCACCCAAGCTGAACAGAAAAAAGAATTAAAAAGAACAAGGACAGTCTAAGGGACCTCTGGGACAATGTCAAATGCAATAATATCTGTATTATACGTATCCCAGAAGGAGAAGAGAGAGACAAAGGGGCAGAGAATCTATTTCAAGAAATGATAGCTGAAAACTTTCCTAACATAAGGAAGGAAACAGACATCCAGGTACAGGAAGCACAGAGAGCACTAAACAAGGTAAACCCAAAGAGGCCCACACCAAGACACATTGTAATTAAAACATCAAGAATTAAGATAAAGAGAAAATCCTAAAAGCTACAAGAGAAAGGCAACAAGTTACATACAAAGGAAACCCCATAAGGCTATCAGCTGACTTCTCAGCAGAAACATTACAGGCTAGAAGGGAGTGGCACAATATATTTAAAGTGTTGAAAGGAAAAAAACCTACAGCCAAGAATACTCTACCTGGCAAGGTTATCATTCAGAATGGAAGGAGAGATAAAGAGTTTCCCAGACAGGCAACAACTAAAGGAGTTTATCACCAAGAAACAAGCTTTACAAGAAATGGTAAAGGGATTTATTTAAGTGGAAAAGAGATTACATATAAGAATAAGAAAATCATCCAAAAAGACCCCAAAATCACTGGTAAAGGTAAATATACGGTAAAGGTAGTAGATCAACCATCTGTGAAGCTAATATGAAGGTAAAAAGACAAAAGTACTGGGACCGGCCCCATGGCCCAGTGGTTAAGTTCGCATGCTCCACTTTGGCGGCCCAGGGTTTCGCTGGTTCAAATCCTGGGCACAGACATGGCGCCACTCATCAAGCCATGTGGAGGCGGCATCCCACATGCCACAACTAGGACCCACAAGTAAAAATACACAACTATGTACTGGGGAGCTTTGGGGAGAAAAAAGGAAAAATAAAATCTTTAAAAAAAAAAAGACAAAAGCACTAAAATTATTTGTTTCCAAGATAAGAGGGTAATGGATACACACACACAAAAAAGAGGTTAGATATGATATCAAAAACATAAAATGTGGGAGGAGGGGAATAAAAGAGTAGAGCTTTTAGCAAGAGGTCAAACTAAAGAGCCCATCGACTTAATACAGATTGCTATATATATGGAGGTTATTGTATATGAACCTCATGGTAATCACAAACCAGAAGCCCATAATAAATACACAAAAAATTAAGAGAAAGGAACCCAAACATAACACTAAAGAAAGCCATAAAACCACAAGGGAAGAGAGCAAGAGAAGAAGAAAGGAACAGAGAAAAACTACTAAAACACCCAGAAAAAGTAACAAAATGGCAATAAGTACATAATTATCAATAGCTACTTTAAATCTCAATGGACTAAATGCTGCAATCAAAAGGCAGAGGGTGGCTGATTGAATAAAAAAACAAGATTCATATGTATGCTGCATACAAGAGACACACTTCAGACCTAAAGACACAATTGGAAGTGAAATGATGGAAAAAGATACTCCATGCAAATGACAATGAAAAGAACACGGGGTTGCAATACTTATGTAAGACACAAGAGGCTTTAAAACAAAAACTGTAACAAGAGACAAAGAAGGGCACTACATAATGATAAAAGGAATAATCCAACAAGAGGATATAACACTTGTAAATATCTATGCACCCAACATAGGAGCACCTAAATATACAAAGCAAGTATTAACACACAAAAAGGGAGAAATAGTAACACAATAAAAGTAGGGGACTTTAACACTCCACTTACATCAATGGATAGGCCATCCAAACAGAAGAGCAATAAGGAAACACTGGTCTTAAATGACTTATTAGACAAGTTAGACTTAGTAGATATATACTGTACATTCATTCTTTCCAAATGCACATGGAACATTATCCAGGATAGATCACATATTAGGCCACAAAACAAGTCTCAATAAATTTAAGAAGACTGAAATAATACCAAGCATCTTTTCTGACCACAATGCTATAAAACTAGAAATCAACTAAAGGAAGAAAATCAGAAAAGCTGCAAATAGGTGGAGTTTCAACAAAATGCTACTGAACAATGATTGGGTCAATGAAGAAATCAAAGGAGAAATCAAAAAGTACCTGGAGACAAATGAAAATGAAAATACAACATGCCAAAATTTATGGGATACAGTAAAAGCAGTTCTACGAGGGAAGTTTACAGCAATACAGGCCTACCTCAACAAGAAAAATCTCAGATAAACAATCTAACAGTGAACCTAAATGAATTGGAAAAAGAAGAACAAACAAAGCCCAAAATCAGTAGAAGGAAGGAAATAATAAAAATCAGAGCAGAAATAGATGAAATAGAGACTAAAAAAAACCAGAAAAAATCAATGAAACTAAGAGCTAGCTCTTTGAAAAGAGAAACAAAATTGACAAGTCTTTAGCTAGACTCACCAAGAAAAAAGGAGGAAGGCTCAAATAAAATCAGAAATGAAAGAGGAGAAATTACAGTGGACACCTCAGAAATACAAAGGATTATAAGATAACACTACAAAAAGCTATACGTCAACAAATTGGATAACCTAGAAGAAATGGATAAATTCTTAGAATTATACAGCCTTCCAAAACTGAATCAAGAAGAAATAGACAGGGCCAGCCTGGTGGCACAGCAGTTAAGTTTGCATGTTCTGCTTTGGCAGCCCGGGGTTTGCCGGTTTGGATCCCGGGTGTGGACCTACGCACTGCTCAGCAAGCCATGCTGTGGCAGGTGCCCCACATATAAAGTAGAGGAAAATGGACACAGATGTTAGCCCAGGGCCAGTCTTCCTCAGCAAAAAGAGGAGGACTGGTGGCAGATGTTAGCTCAGGGCTAACCTTCCTGAAAAGAAAAAAAGGAAGAAATAGTTTGAATAGATTGATCACCAGTAAAGAGACCAAAGCAGTAATCAAAACTTCTCAAAAATAAAAGTCCAGGACCAGATGGCTTCCCTGGTGAATTCTACCAAACATTCAAAGAAGACTCAATACCTATCCTTCTCAAACTCTTCCAAAAGACTGAAGAGGAGGGCAAGCTTCCTAACTCATTCTATGAAGCCAACATTACCCTGATACCAAAACGAGACAAGGACAACACACACAAAAAAGAAATTTATAGGTCAATATCACTGATGAAGATCGATGCAAAAATCCTCAACAAAATACTAGCAAATCGAATACAACAATCCATTAAAAAGATCACACACCATGATCAAGTGGGATTTATTCTAGGGATGCAGGGATGGTTCAACATCCGCAAATCTATCAACATAATACACCACATTAACAAAAAGAAGAATAAAAATCACATGATAATCTCAATAGATGCAGAGAAAGCATTTGACAAGATACAGCATCCATTTATGATAAAAACCTTGAATAAAACAGGTATGGAAGGAAAGTAGCTCAACATAATAAAAGCCATATATGACAAACCCAGAGCTAATATCATTCTCAATGGAGAAAAACTGAAAGCTATCCCTCTAAGAACAGGAACCAGACAAGGATGCCCACTGTCACCACTCTTACTTAACATAGTATTGGAAGTCCTAGCCAGAGCAATCAGGCAAGAAAAAGAAATAAAAGGGACCTAAATTGGAAAATAAGAAGTGAAGCTGTCACTATTTGCAGATGACACGATTTTGTATACAGAAAACCCTAAGGAATCCACCAAAAAACTTTTAGAAATAATAAATGAACACGATAAAGTTGCAGGATACAAAATCAACATACAAAAATCAATTGCATTTCTATACACTAACAACAAAGTAGCAGAAAGAGAAATTAAGAATACAATCTCATTTACGACTGCAACAAAAAGAATAAAACACCTAGGAATAAACTTAACGAAAGATGTAAAATACCAGTACACTGAAAACTATAAAACACTGTCAAAAGAAATAGGAGAAAACACAAAGAAATAGAAAGATATTCCATGCTCTTGGATTGGAAGAATTAACATAGTTAAAATGTTTACACTTCCTAAAGCAATTTACAGATTCAATGCAATCCCTATCAAAGTTTCAACAACATTTTTCACAGAAATAGAACAAACAATTCTAAAATTTATATGGAACAACGAAAGACCCCGAATAGTCAAAGGAAGCCTGAGAAAAAAGAACAAAGCCGGAGGCATCACAATCCCTGATTTCAACATATACTACAAAGCTTCAGTAAGCAAAACAGCATGGTACTGGCACAAAAACAGACACACAGATCAGTGGAACAGAATCAAGAGCCCAGAAATAAACCCACACATCTATGGACAGCTAGTTTTCAACAAGAGAGCCAAGAACATACAATGGAGAAAGGAGAGTCTCTTCAATAAACGGTGCTGGGAAAACTGGACAGCCACATGCAAAAGAACGAAAGTAGACCATTATCTTACACCATGCACAAAAATTAACTCAAAATGGATTAAAGACTTGCATGTAAGACCTAAAACCATGAAACTTCTAGAAGAAAACACAGGCAGTGCGCTCTTCGACATCGGTCTTAGCAGAATATTTTCAAGTACCATGTCTGACTGGGCAAGAGAAACAATAGAAAAAATAAACAATGGACTACATCAAACTAAAAAGCTTCTGCACAGCAAAGGAAACCATCAACAAAACAAAAAGACAACTTAACAATTTGGAGAAGATACTTGCAAACTATATATCTGATAATGGGTTAATATTCAAAATATATAAAGAACTCATACATCTCAACAACAACAAAACTAACAACCCAATTAAAAAATGGGCCAAAGATCTAAACAGACATTTCTCCAAAGAAGATATATAGATGGACAACAGGCACACGAAAAGATGTTCAACATCGCTAATTATCAGGGAAACGCAAATCAAAACCACAATGAGATCACCTCATACCTGTCAGAATGGCTATAATGAACAAGATAGGAAATAACAAGTGTTGGAGAGGATGTGTAGAAAAGAGAATTCTCATACACTAATGGTGGGAGTGCAGCCACTATGGAAAACAGTATGGAGATTCCTCAAAATATTAAGAAAAGAACTACCATATGATCCAGCTATTCCACTGCTGTGTAGTTATTCAAAGAACATGAAAATACGAATGCATAAAGATATATGAACCCCTATGTTCATTGCAGCATTATTCACGATAGTCAAGACTTGAAGCAACCAAGGTGCCCACCAAGGGATGAATGGATCAAGAAGATGTGGTCTAGATACACAATGGAATACTACTCAGCCATAAGAAATGATGAAATCCGGCCATTTGCAACAACATGGATGGACCTTGAGGGTATTATGCTAAGCAAAATAAGTCAGAGGGAGAAAGTCAAATACCTTATGATCTCACTCATAAATGGAAGATAAAAACAACAACAAACAACACATAGAGACAGAGACTGGATTCGTGGTTACCAGAGGGGAAGCGGGAAGAAGGGGGGTGAAAGGGGTGATTAGGCACGTGGTGATGGATTGTAATTAGTCTTTGGGTGGTGGACATGATGTAATCTACATAGAAATCGAAATATAACGATCTACATCTGAAGTTTATATAATGTTATAAACGAATGTTACCACAAGAAAAGAATAAAGCACTAAAAATAAACAAACAAACAAACAAAACAAAGTCTGCTCTGCGTTAAACAAGACATGATTCCCACCACGGGATGGTGAGGGCCCCCCTCGCAGAGTCCTGATTGCAAAGCTGCTGGCCACTGTCCCTCTTGTAACAGAAGGACCCAGAAACCAAACGTCAGCACCCAGGCGCTACACCTCGATCTACACACTGATACTTCTGCCTTCTAAGATTTCGTTGCGGCGTAATAGTCTGTTGCGCTGGGACTTCCACCTCCACTGACCATAAACCTTCCAAACCTAAAGGTGAACATTTGTTCTTCCTCCCCAACCCCCTCCTGGCGGCTGAGCAGCTGCAAACCTTGATTCAGTCATCTCTCCCCGTCTAGGGCACAAGTGACCAGCAAGTCTTCCATGTGCTCATCCCGGTTGCGTATTTAGGCAAGAAGTGACCAGGCCAAGCACAGAGCCCTGCCCTTCAGGCTCTCCACCACTCACTGGGTGTGGCCGAACAAGCCGCTACCTGAGCCACACCTATCCCCCTTTCCACGAGGACATCAAGAGCTTTCACCCAGCGTCTTCCCGGAATCTGGATGGTCTAGGCCAGCAGCATGTCTCTCACTACTCCTCCAGTCACCCTGCCGGAAGATGAACCGGGCCGGTAGGTGGTTTTAAAACCCGTCCACAAATTCTTCAACAGTCCTCCCATCAGGAGGTGAGTCTCACTCCCCTCCCTTGAATGTGGGCTGGCCCTAGGACTCACATGCAGGGAAGGAAACGCTACACGTCTTACAAGGCCAAGTCGTAAAAGGCAACGCAGCTCCCACCTGGCTGTCGCTCTGGACACTCCCTCTTGGAACCCAACCGCCATACTGCGAGGAAGCCCAGACCACACGGAGAGGCCATGTGTAAGTGTTCCGGCTGACGGCCTGCAGTGACCGTCAGGCGTGTGGGTGAGCAAGCCTTTGGGATGACACCAGGCCCAGCCAACTTCTGGCTGCAACCCAAGAGACCCCAAGCAAGAACCACCCACCCAAGCCCAGTCAGCCCCCGACCATCAGTGACAATAATAACAAATGATTGTGTTGTTTTCCACCACTAAGCCTGGGTAGTTAGTTTCACAGGTCCAGATAACAGAACTGTTGCTATGGCAACAAGAATCTCTTGCAGAGGTCCCATTCCCTTTTTTCCGTGAGCGTTTTCAAACTGTCGACCTAACAGGCCATCTAGAATTAGGAAGAGTCCTTCGGGTTTACAGTTCAGGAATCTGCCCCTTTCCACTTTCCAGAACCTGAACCATCTATGTGTGTGTCGTCTCCTGATTCTTCCCCACCATTCCTCAAAAATTGTTGAAAACTGTTGTAAGCATACTATTGAGTCTGTTTAGAACCCTTGGATATAACAAATTAGGAGCCCAGAATTCATTTTAGTAATCATAATAGCACTAACAACTGTAATTTGTAACCTCTCAGTAAATGTTAGTGGTGCCAGCACTTCACATGTATCAACTCATCTAATCCTCACAACCCAACACACTGAAAACTATGCTTATTCTTGCTGAGGCACAGAGAGGGTGAGCAGTTTGCTCGGGTCACACAGCCACTAAAGGTGGCCAGATTCCTTTTTCCTGCCCCTTCGCCTATCTCATGTATAGGCTGCCCTTTCCCATTAAAGGTCATCCTCCTTTTGAGGATAGCAAAAGCCAAATAAGAGCTGCGTCTTTTTGTAAGTAGTTTTTGGCATCCCCCACTCCCCAGCTACCGCACCCCCAAGTGGCAGGCCAACCTTCCGAATGTTTCTGAAAAGTTGCTGGTCATCTTCGGCCTCAGCTCACCTTCGGTTTGGGCCTTCCTGATGGTGTGCTCCCTCACCCACTTAGGTCTTCGTGTATTTCCTACCTAAACCTGAGCAGCCCCTCTGCCTCATCTCCCCTCCTCCCTGGGACTGTCGAGGAACTCGTCTTCACGGGGCTCCAAGCCCTCCCTCTCTGGGTCTCTGGCCTTCAGGTCTCAGTGACTTTGCTCTCTGCACCTGTCAGCATCTGCCCTTCCTAATGTCCACAGGTTCCTCTGGCTCCTGTCTCCTCTGCTAAGTGTCCAGGATCCTGGGGTCACAGCGTGACCTCCACGATTCCTCCAGGGATGGCTTTCCCCCGAACCTCTTTAGGGTCAGGCACACATTGTGACAAGGTCCAAACTCAGTACTCTGGGGAGAGACTGGCATCAAGGCTCCTAGAAAGCTGAGGGGTCTGGTGCTGCCCAGACTCGGTGTGGTGGCGGGGTGCAGTCAGGCGGGCCATGGCTGCAGGCCGGTAACACTTTTTACACGCTTGCTCATCACTTTGCGGTTTATGAAACATTTCGGTACACACGCTTTCATAAGATCCTCACAACGGCCCTTGCAGGTGGGCATTCTTACCCTCACGGTAAGGGGGAGGAGAGTGAGATTAGCCCACGGTCACCCAGCAAGTAAGGAGCAGAGCAGAGGCTCCAGCCTCGTCTTGGGACCCCTGACCCAGTAAGCTTTTCACTGTACCTCCTGCTCAGGCATTCCAGAACCTGCTCTTATCTCCTGACGCCACCTGCACTGCGGCAACAGCGTAACCCCAGCTCCTGCCGTGACCCAGGCGCTATGCTTCTCCAGAGAGACAGCTACCTTTGCTCATCACGCCCAAGCCGGGCCCAGGTGGTGCTCAATGGATGGGCATCACCTGGCTGAAAAGCCAAGAGGCAGGCTGGGGCCAGCACGCGACCCTTGTCTACGTGGCCCTGCTGGGAGACAAAGGCGCAGCAGGACTGGGATCCACACAGGATGGGGCGGGTGTGGTGGGATAAAGGCAGGGGTGTCGCTACAGCCCCACCCAAACCCATCTGCATGACTCCCCCACAGAACCCGGCACTGCACAAACGCCCCCGTGGCCCTTTCCCCAAGTCTGTGTCCCGAAGACACCAACAGCACCGCCCCCTCGCCACCGCAGGCTCCCATTCCAGCCTCCGCGGCACCCGGCCGCTCCTCCCTCCCCTCCCCCCCACACTGTGCCCACCCCTCATCCACGGTTTCCTGTTTTACCTAAATTTGTAGTTGCCCGGCAGGAAGCAGCCCATCTTGCAGTTGTGTCGAGCCTGGTCGATCTGCTTCAGCAGATTCTTCCTGCTTAAGCCGCAGCCATTCAAAACGCTGCCCCCGAAAAGGAGCTTCCCCCCAGCAAACATCTGCTGACACACAGGGAGGAAACAGAGGGCGAGGCCCTCAGCACAGCAGCCCTGACTCTTGGGACAGGCCGCTGGCTCTCAGTGCTCGTGCTGGGACCCAGGCCTTCTTCTGTGGATGGAGAAGGGGTGTTGCCTTCCCTGAGTTGCCCAGTGAGGTGTAGCTGAGCCTGTCCCCAGTCCAGGTCCCCCAAGTCAGAGGGCAGACCCCCGTCCCAGCCTTGGCCCCTTGCCAGCCCAACCAGCTCAAATGCCGTTTCACACGCAAGCCCTCCCGGGGCCCCAGGCCTGAAGGGTGTCTCCCTGCTCAGAGGGCCCTTAGCCCACCCACCTCTAACACACTTATCCGCATGCACCAATCAGCTGGTCCCATGGGATGGGAGCCCCTTGAGGGCAGGGATCTTGTCCCATTGCTCTCTGAACCCTACCCTCCAGGTGTCAGTCTCCAACCAGTAGAGACCTCTCCAAAGATTTCTGTGTGACGACATCCATTATAGTGTTTTTTGCTATGGCCAAAACAAAAAACAAACAAACAAGGAAATAACCTAAACATGGGACAAAAGGAACCCAGGTAGAGAAATGACACGACAGGCTCCTACACAGTGGTTAAAAATCACAATTTAAAAAGCAGGAGCTCGGGGCTGGCCTGGTGGCACAGCAGTAGAGTTCGCACGTTCCGCTTCAGCGGCCTGGGGTTCACCGGTTCAGATCCCGTGTGCGGAACTACACACTGCTTGTCAAGCCATGCTGTGGCAGGCGTCCCACATATAAAGTAGAGGAAGATGGGCACGATGTTAGCTCAGGGCCAGTCTTCCTCAGCAAAAAGAGGAGGATTGGCAGCAGATGTTAGCTCAGGGCTAATCTTCCTCAAAAGAAAAAAAAGGAAAAAGCAGGACCTCAAAGTCAGAAAGAAGACTAAAGAGCCAGACACCAAAATGTCAGCAGGGTGTGCCCCAGGGCTTCTGACAGTGTGGGCCAAGCAGGTGCCCAGTACCCACTTGCTGTGTGAACAAATGGGGCATGGGCTCAGCAGGAACCTGGCCTGGCTGAGAATGCAGGAATCTGAGCATGAAGCATGAAGAAATTTTCTAAATTGTATTTTCCAAATTTTCTACAATGAATATATCTGTTTTTATGATATGCTTTTTAGTAAAAAGTTATTTACAAACAAACAGATGAAGGGAATTTGGTTCTCCGGGTTAAGTGTCATCCATCCCTTCCGTCTCCTGGGATGGGAGACGCATGGGCTCTATGTGCTGTGTGACTCTCAGTCAGTCCTTCTGCTCTCTGGGCCTCAGGCTGGGCAGGGAGAGGGTCCCATGGGCCCCCTCTCCTCCCCCCTCCCACATCTGTGATGCCACACGGGTGGGGGCTGCAGGAGATAGGGTGGCAGCCAGTCAGCGAGTCCCTGCTGGGCCCCGGCTCACCAGAACCATCCCCTGCACCACACCATTGTTCTTCACCAGCAGAGGCGGGTCCTTCTGCAGGGGGCTGTCCAGGTCGTACCGCAGCAGGCGGTAGGGGTCATGCCGGCACTGCCAACAGAGAAATGAGTGCCCATCACCCCATGCCAAGAGGATGCCCTCAGATTCCTGCATCACAGCCAGACCAGGTTCCCACTGAGTCCTGGAGGCTCAGACAACAACTCTCCCAACTCCTGCTCAACGGGCCATTCAGCCCCTGCGTGCATACCTCCCCTCACCATCCCCAGAGCATGTCCCTGGATCCATTTAGGGCCCTCGACTGGTGAAGGCTGTCATGGAGACAATTGCCCCCCACCATGTGACACCCAGAAGCCTGGCCCTCTGGGGTCTGCAGGACTAGACTGTTCCCTGTGCCTGTGAGAAGCCCTGCAGAGATCTGAAGGTGAACCACGTTCCCAGGTGTCCCCAGTCCCAGGATTCCTCCACCCCCACCCCCTGCTGGCTGCCCCTCCGGACACCTCCCAGTCATTAAATCCAGTGCCAGGACCTGAACTGAACCTACACCTCAAGGTAGGGCATGTCAATCCAGAGTAAAGCTAGTCTCTTTCCCCTCCTTTTTCCGGATGCTATGGATCCATTAATATGGCTAACGTGTAACGTGATGTTTTCTGATTTTTTCTGCCTTTTATTCCAGGTGCCTCCAGCTGTCCTGCCTGATCTTCCAGTTTAAGATGTGAAACTCAGACCTGCACCTGACATTCTGGCTGTCAGAGCAAGAGAAGCCCGGGAATGTTTCTGTTTTAACCAAAGACACGGGAAGGGTGGAAGCAGAGTCTCTGCAAAATCCAGCCCCACCCTCCAGGCCTGTCCTGCACTCCTCAAATCCCGCCGCCCACTCCTCCATCCGCTCCAGCGCCTCCGGCTGGCCCCCGTCCCCATCCACGCTGCTCGTGGCCGGGCTGGACCACTGTGCACTCTATGCTTATGAACAATTGTAAGGGAACAGTTAATAGCCCCAAGATACGCTAAAGTCAACCCCAAGTGCCCACCGGGCAGGGATTATATCCGTCTATACACAGATGGGCCAGAGCAGGTATTCAGTCAGCCCTGGCCCCCTGTGGGGTTCTTTCTCCACTCGCCTCCCCACCCCCAGACCCCGGGGCCTCCTCGGCTGGACCCCAGACCAACCTGGATGCAGGGCGAGGCGCGACCCCGCTGCTGGTGACTGTAGAGGGTGTTGAACAGCCACTGGAGCTCCGCCGTGCTGGTGGGGCTCTGGCCTGCCACTATCCCAAACACCAGCACCTGGGTGGGGTCCCGGGGCGCCGACAGGAAGTGCGCCAGCTCCACGTCAGACACCAGGGGTGTCTTCACCAAGCACTTGCAGCTGGCCCGGAAGTCTTCCTTTCGAATGAGCTTCCGCAGCACTAGAGGGCAGTCAGAGGGCAAGGCCTCCCCTCTGGTGGCGCAGTGCGGCGCTCTCGCCTTCCCTCTGCAAGGAGGAGCAGGTGGCCGAGGGCTCAGTGGGAGGGGTGCAGGTCCCTGCCCCCGGGCCCCCAGTCCCTGGTTCTAGACAGACAAAGATCCTGCTGCTGCCGAGTTCGGGCTCCAGGCGGTTGTATCCTGGCCTCTGCCACCAACCTGCATCACCACCTTGGATGGGTCCCCTGACCTCTCTGAGCCTCAGTTTCCTCAGGTACAAAACAGGCTCAACAAGCGACATGTTCATCCATCCAACAAAACTATGGAGTCATCTTGAACTCCTTTCTTTCTCTTACATCTCACATCCCACAATCTATCTGCAAGCCTGTCCACTCTACATTGAAGAAAGACACAGACCGCAAGCACTTTCCTGACCCTACTCCTAGAACATGGTCCAGGCCTCCATCATTTCTTGCCTGGATGCCTACCAGTGCCTCCTAAGGGGTCTTCTGCTTTCTCCTCTGGCCCCTCTGCAGTCTGTTCTTCACACAGCAGACTGAGGGATCCTGTCAGAACCCAAGTTACGTCACGTCACTACTCTCTTCCAAACCCTCCAGCGGCTTTCCACATTTCAGGGAACAAAAGCCAAAGTCCCTACAATGCGCTCCCGGGCTGTCCACGCTCTGGCCCCCTCCCTCAGCCCCTTGACCTCTTGCTCTTCTCCAACATTCTCACCTTTGCTCATTGCGCTTAGCCATTCTGGCCTCTGCTTATCCTCCACCCTCAGGGCCTTTGCTCTTGCTGTCCTTCTGCCTGACTGGCTCTTCCCCCAGATAGCCACACAACTCAATTTCTTACCTCCTTTACATCTTTATGCAAATGTCACCTTCTAAGTGGGACTTTCTCTGACCCTCCTGTTGGGAACTGCATGCCTCTACCTCCAACGCCCCTTCCCTTTCCCCGCCTGTTTTCCCCCCAGCATTGCTCACTATCTAACATTCTGTACATTTGCTTATTTCCTTTAGCTGTTGTACTTCTCCCTCCCACTAGAACGTAAGTTCCATGAGTTCATGAGTTCAGAATGTGTCGCTCAGTGGAGTAAATAGTAACCCTTGGTAAATAGCAAAGATTCAATAGAGACTCAAGCAAATGCTTATCAGGCACCTACCACGTACTAGACACTGTGCTGGGTTGTTGCAGGATCACGAGGGGCTGCTGTATTTAGATGAGAAAATATAAAGCACTACTAGACTTTATTCTCATCATTCCTGCCACCTTACATCGTGGTTAGCATTTCACAGCATCCACAGCCCTTGACACAGACATTGTCTTGGTTGTTTTTCAATAACCTGTATAATAGGCTGGGCAGAAACTCTTATCACTGTTTACAGGTCAGAAAGCGGAAGGCTCCCACCAGGTGAATGGGTTGCCCAGGTTCATAGGGTAATTAAGCGGCAAGGGCTAGGATGAGAAACCAGGTCGTCCTAACAAGAGCCATGCGAGTGACTTGCTGCTCATACTCCTTCAGAGGCTACTCGACACTAATGAAGACGTGCTAAACAAACTAAAGAATATCTCCTGTTCAAGAGCCCGAGCCTCTGGAGGGGAAAAGGTTGGACCTAAGGCTCATAACTTATACAAAGACAAATCCAAAATGGATCAAGCATTTAAATGTGGGAAAATTGAGCCAGAAAAGTTCTAGTAGAATATATGAGAGAAGCATTTAATAAATTTTGAGCAGGGAAGGCTTTTTCTAATTATGATTCAAAAGTCCAGAAGTCGTGATAGAAAAAGATTGATAAATTCAGCTGTGCAAAAGAAAAAACAAAAAAAAACCCTGAGGGGTGAAACCATCACTAGCAAAGACAAGAGACAAATGAAAAACTGGGAAACATATATGAAACTCTTATCACAGACAAGTGGCTAGTTTCCCTACTATGTAAAGAACTTTAAATGAATTAGAAAAAATTAATAATTCAATAAAACATGGACAAAGGAAGCGAACACACCATTCATAAAAAATTATATAGGAAGGATTGTTTTACTTACAAAAAGACAGTAGTGACGGTGTGGAAAATGGCAGTGTAGGGCACTCCAAAGCTATGTCCCTTCACTAAAGCAACAACTGAGCTGGAAAAACTGTCAGAATTATCTCTATCAGAGCTCCAGAAACTACTTTAAAAACACAACAATCAGGGAAATGCTTAATGAAGGAAGAAACTGCTAAATTTTGGTAAGAAAGTGTTGTGGTGTTTTAACTTACCTACCATCCCCCACTCCCCAGCTTGGTGGGATCCATCGGGGTGGGAGCCCATGTGCCTGGTGTGGCACTGGTCCCAGAGAGGGCAATCTGGACTTGCTCCCAGGAACTATGGTTTGACCTGTCTGGAGGCTCCCTGAGGGGTTGGCTAAGGGGCTTGCCTTTGTTTTGCTCACCTTGGAACTTTTGCAGGCGTGTAGCAGTCTCCCAGGCAGCGTTTGTCAAAAGCTTTTAAAGGAAAATATACCAGACACAACCTCCAGGTGCCCAGGATAACAGACAGGGCACACAGTAGGAGATCAAAATGTGTGGGAAGAAAGAGGCTGTGGAAAAAAATATATGCAGGAATAAAGGCTTTGAAAGTTTCCACATACACTAGGGAATCTAAAGGGGCACAAGAATGCCCAGGGTTGGAACCACAGTTAGAAAAGGCCTCAAAACACCCTAAGCTTTCACCTCTGGCTGACCCCTGGGCTCTGGGCGAGTGAGAAGTCAAGGCTAGAGCAGAGGTGTAAACAGCCTGCTGAGAGCACAGACAAAGTACCCCAACACAGAGTCGATCTGTAACAACTGGGAGAGGATTTGTTTGCAGCACTAGGTATTTAAGGAAGTCTCTGTCAAAACACTAGCTGACCACTAAGCTAACCAAACAGTCTTCAGTGACCACACGTGACAAAGAATAGTCTTAGACAAATAGTTAGGAAAAGTTGCTAAACAAACAAATAACTACAAACTGCAGCAAGCAGCAACAACAAACCCTGGGGAGAGGAGGGAATTTGACTTTCTGAGTTATCACATTATAATATTAAAAACATTCAGTTTTCAACAAAAAATTATGAGGCATGCAATGACACAAGAAAGTATGGCTTGTTCACAGGAAAAAAGAAATTAATAGAAACTGTCCCTGAGGAAACCCAGATATTGGACTTACTAGACAAAGATTTTAAATTAACTATATTAAATATGCTCAAAGTACTAAGGGAATTAGGGACAAGGAACTAAAGGAAACCAGGAGAACAAAGTTTCATCATATAGAGAATATCAATAGGAGATAGAAATTCTAAAAAGTAAGCAACCTAGAGTTGAAATGTACAATAACTGAAATGAAAATGAAATGAAAAATTCAACAGCAGATCTGAACAAGCAGAAAAAAGAATCAGCAAACTTGAACGTAGGCCAATTGAGATTATCCAGTGTGAGGAGCAGAAAGAAAAAAGAATGAAGAAAAATTAATAGAGCCTAAGACACCTGTGGGGCAACATACACATAGTGAGAGTTCCATAGGGACCAGAGAAAGGAGCAGTAAGAATACTTGAAGACATAGTTGACAAAACTTCTCCAGATTTGATGAAAGACAAGACTCTACACATTCAAGAAGCTCAACCAACTCTACGTTGGATAAATTCAGAGAGATCCACACTGAGACACACTATAATAAAACTGTTGAAAGACAAAGAGAGAATCTTGAAAGCAACCAGAGAAAAGAGACTCATCACATACAAGAGATCCCCAATAAGATTAACAGCCAATTTCTCATCCAAAAACTATGGAGGTCAGAAGGCAGTGGAATGCCATATTTAAAGTGCTGAAAGAAAAAAACCCCTATCAACCAAAAATTATATAGTGAGCAAAACTATCCTTCAGAAATGAAGGAGAAGTGAAGACATCATGGATAAACAAAACTGAGGGAGTTTTTCACTAGTTTTTCACTAGGCCTGCCCCACAAGAAATGCTAAAGAAAGTCCTTTAGGCTGAAATGGAAGAATACTAGACAGTAACTTCAAATTATATGAAGAAATAAAGAACAGGGGTAAAGATAACTACATAAGTAAATATAAAACCAATATTATATAGTTTCAGTTTGAAACTCCTCTGTTTTTTCCTATATGATTTAAAAGACAAAATATATAAAACAACAATTATAAATCTGTTAATTGGGCACACAATGCATAAAGATGTATTTTGTGACAATAATACCATAAGGGGAGAGGGATGGGCTATACAGGAGCAGAAATTTTGTATACTATTGAAGCTAAGTTAGTATTAATTCAAACTAAATTGCTACCATAATCCCCAGAGTAATCACTAAGAAGATAAACTACAGAAAAGGAAATGAGATGGAAATCAAAACCATATGTATTAGTCAGGGTTTTCCAGAGAAACAGAACCAATATGATATACATGGTTCTTTTTCTTCATTCCTTTCTTCCTTTGTTCTGTCCTTTCTTTCTTTCCATAATAAATTTCATCATGGATAAATATCTATATCTGTCTATCTATCTATCTATCTATCTATCTATCTATCTATCTATGTAGGTGTCTTTGTCTCTCTCTCTGAGGAAATTTATTATAGGAATTGGTTCATGCAGTTACAGAGGCCAAGAAGTCCCACAATCTGCCGTCTGCAAGCTGGAGACCCAGGGAAGCCAGTGGTGTAGTTCACTCTGAGTCTGAAGGCATGAGAACCTGGGGAGAAAATGGTGTCATTCTCAGACCAAGGCCAAAGACCTAACAACTGGGGGCTTCAATGCCTGAAAGCAAGAAGAGATGGACTTCCCAGCTCAAGAAGAGAAAGAGGGAATGTGTCCTTCCTTTGCTTTTTTTGTTTTATTCAGGATTCAGTGAATCCCTCAATGGATCGGATGATACCTGCCCACCTTGGTGGGTGTGGGCCTCTTTTCTCAGTCTACTGAATCAAATGCTAATCTCTTCCAGAAACAGTCGCATATACACACCCAGAAAAAATGTTTTACCCTTAGCCCAGTCATCACTCAGCCCTGTCAAGTTGACACATAAAAGTAACATCACAC